TATTTTATAGGGTTTCTAATCTATGCTTTTTCATTGTTCATACCTTCACCTTCGCGTGGCATCGCCCGAATGTCATCTCATGTGCGTACATTGCAGGTAATCGTCTAATTCCGCCTGTCAGCTTCTCATATGCCTAATTCCGCCTGTCAGCTTCTCCTATGCCTCTGTATCTGAATCCTTACATATGTTAATCTTGATATTTTTTTTGGTTACAGGTGCTTTGAATGTTTTTATTTCATTGCACATGTAGTTCTGCAAATGAGGGTTTTTTTGTTGGTAGAAAAAAGGTTTAAACTAGATCTGAAAGCTCTTCAGGTATAACATTTTGGGTTATACAAACTTTAAATGGGATATGTATGTTTTTACTATTTTTCCAGCTTGTTGTTTTTTAAATTCAGAGTTTGATTCGATTTTCCTCATGATTTAACAAATCATTGTTTTTGGGTGATGGATGTTTAGGTCGTTGAAGATCTAGAAATCGAAAAGCATTGCAAAATTTTATCTTCAATGGTTTTCAAAGCTTTTACATTTAGTAAAAAAAACACTAGGGGCTTGGTTGTAAGTAGAGACATGCTTTCATTATAAATCTGTTTCTTTTTGTTTGCATCTCCAGATTGATCAAAGAGTGGACGAGTATTCAATGAATGCAATGGAAAGAGGATAAATTTAGGTAAGCTTCTTATTTATAGAGGATTATATATTGGTTTTTTCCCTTTCATAAATGCACCATCTTAGCCTCCACCACCACCTGTCACATGCATCATTTGTTCCATGTTGCCTTCATTTGTTCCGGATCAATTCAAGGTATCAATATGGTTTAATTTTGTTGTATTTTTGTTTGATTTTTTTTGAAAATCGTTGAGTGTTCCAAAATTTTGCAGATCGTTTGATTCATTCGGAACATGGCCAATGAAAGGTTTTGGGTTGCCCTAAACTCCACAGTCTGCCACTCTGCCCCCTTTTCAAGGAGTCTCTCTTCCTCTGTTCTTTGGTGTTTGGCTCTCTCCTGAATCAACACCAGCTTCACGATCTGGCGATCTTCAATGACATCTTAGCTCCTCTTTACGCCCTTTTCTCATGATAGGATCGTAGATGAACCTATATCTTGTAAAAAACAAGTGCTAACTATCACTATTAACAATTTCAAGGTATTTGTTGTATGTTTTCTCCTTGGAACTCTTAATAATTTTGTTTTTTTTCCTTATGATTTTTAGGTTTTTTTTAGCTTCAGTTGTTGAACTATCTACAGATGGTGAGAAAATAGGTATTTGTAGATGATACAAAAAAAGTAAAATGAAGCTATCTGCATTACCATCTTATGGTTATTCCCAGTTGATCCTCTCTTTCACTTTTAAAGCTTGATAAATCAACGCCCTCCTACACCAATCTCCTCTATTACCCACCATCCTTATGGTGTTCTAGCCAATTCAGTCTTGAATCTCAATCGGGATCAATCTCCTTTATTTACATTGTGATAAGCATTTTCAATTCTTTGTTGTTTTTTAATTTTCATAATAAAATATCATATTTTTGCATTAATTTATATAACATTATGTTTTGTATTTATATGAATATTGTTAAACCATGGGATGTGGAAACTTCTCTGCAAGAGATTGATTTACGTAAGGTGGAGCCTCACAATAAAAGGGTAAAATGGTAATTTACTCACATTAATTCAATTCCTTCGGTTCATAATAATACACATAGACTAAAGTGTAAAATGTTAATCTTCTCTCATTCAAATACTCATTCTGTAATCACTGGATGAAATGTCATGATGGTTGCTTTTAAATTTTTTTTTTTTTGGAAATTATGGAAAAGGAATATGGGTGAAAGATTTGATCTTGAATAACACGTGACTGAAGAACTTGAGGGTAATACTACTTACTGATATCTTTACTTATAACTATTTATTTTCCTTTTGCTTGTAACAGGTGTTTATTTGTCTGAAATCAAGGCTCTAGCAAGAAATAAAGAAGTTGGCCTAGGTTGGAAATGATGAATTTACTTTCTGTTGCTTTTGTTGTTTCTGGTGGGATGGACATAAAAAGAACAGCAATAGGAGGTTGATGTAGATTCAAAATGAAAAAGGGGTTTTTGTTTGGAGAGAAAAAGAACTGCAAGATCAGGTTACTTTAACTGGAAACTTGGATAATCGGGATGTCTTTTCTCCTATATAATCCTTGCATTTAGAATGTGAAAAGCTTTGAGCATGGATTTTTTCTTTAGCAATTATTAAAATTTGGTATCAATTGGAAGCAAGGTGATCATATTTTGGTACCATTGCTTTTTTACCTTATTATTCTTTTTATTGATACCAAATATAAAATGATTGTTGGATTCTTAAATCGCTGCAGGAGTTAATTAGTAGCAACAGTTAAGTAGCAGCAACAACAAAGAAGAGGCCCCAAAAATATTTGAGTATTAGGTAATATTTTGGTGCAAATGTGTATGTTGAAAGAGAGTTTTAGTGAAAACCATTGCCTATATGTTTGTTCGGTGCAATTATGGACTTTATTATTACATTTTTTTTGTTTAGTTTTAGTAAGAATGTCATTTAATACTGTTTCTTTGTTAACAATATCTCACAAACCATGGATTTTGGTACCTATGCAACAAGGACACTAGGATTTGATGAAATAGGATCTCACTAACCAAGGTTTTGATGAGCTTAATTGCAATGGTGATTGAACGAGATAAAAGTGGGAAGTAGAGTTTGTAATGATATTATATTTTGACTTTGACAGTAAAGATTAGCCATTTAATTAGGATTTCAAAACTTTCAGAAGATATCGATGGCCAAAATTATTTTAAACTTCACTATGTTGTCCCCCGCAGAAACCAAATAAGCGATAAACCGAGAATCTGAATATCACTGACCGATTCCAACCGAAACCGGAAAACCCGACCGAATAACACCATGGTTTTGGCCTTAAATTGCATTATGTTCGCACCTACAGAAACTAGATAAGCCATAAACCGAGAACCAGACTTAGAATCAAGAATCAAACCAAATATCATCGACTGGTGCAGCCGAAACCAGAAAACCCGAACGAATAACACTAACCGGTCACAACTAGCTTTGGTTCCTGTTTGGACAAGGGCCCGGAGGTTTTCCTTCCAAGTCATCACTAATGGCTTTGGTGGGGTCCTCTCTTATTTAAAAAGAAATTAACCCTAAGTCTTAATATTCATGGTTTATAATTATAATTTACTATTTGACATGGAATGGGAAACTAATATGTTTTTCTTATTAGATAAACAACATGTATTGTAACTTGTATAGTATAATCACATGTAGTGAAACGGTGGGTTAGTCACTGTAAAACACTACAACGTTTCTTTTGTTCTATTTTGTAGACAAAGCAAACACAACTAGGATTGTGAAAAAATGGGACCCAACAGGAAAACCTAAAACCAACATTTTTCGAGTCTACCGTTATTTGGGTTTGGGTAGGGTTTGGTATTTATTTTTAAAAAACGTTTACCGGTTCGGATTCAATGATGGTATTCTATGTTCCCAACCCGATTACCCAAAACCGTATTCATGAAGGAAATTTACTGCCAATCACTTCTATTTTTGCAAGCACTAGATTTTTATATTATTTTGTTATGTTGACATAATCCATATTCAAAACTATATTATGTTGAATATATATAGGAATAATTCATATTCAAGAGTTTATATTACTTGATTAGATTACATTGTTATGTTGGAAATAATCTTTTTTACTTTTTGCAAATAGATAATTGGTATACAAACTTCAATTTTCATTGTGTCATGTTATTGCAAATTAAAAACTAATAAATTTTCAATAAATTTGTTTTTTGGGTGTAGTTTTTATAATTTTTAGATATAATTTGTCTTCAAAGACTCGTATAATAATGACACAACTTTACAAGGTGATCTAACTTCTCCATCAAAACCACAAATTGTTACTTTCTAAAATTCTAATAGCTTTATATTTATAGACACGTGTCCACCAAATACAAACTTACCAATAACGTGGGTGTGTGGGTGGAAATTCCGTACAACTGTCTAAACCAAACACCTAGGCAAATTATATTTAAACAAACTATTCGACGCCGCCGCTTTGCGCGGGTAACGACTAGTATATATATATATATTAAAAACAAAAAACCCAAAAAAAATAATTAGATTACTTAATTTCCCCAATAAAAACTTTGGAGACCTTTATTAGTTCCATCTCACCATATTTACCATTTGTGTATATAATAACTTTTTAATATATCTATATTTAACTGGTTTAAATGATTATTTTTGTTTATTATTTGAATAAAAAATATTTAATTATTTCAAGTATTTAAAATTTGTCATCTATAACTTTTATTAAGGTATTATTATCATTTACTATTTTTCACTCGATACATTCAGTTTTAAAAGAGTCTTTTATCATACAACTATTTGCGTCATTGATCCATAAGATAATTAATCTATTTTGTACTTAATAAAAAAGAAAAAAATCACAGCCTTAAAAGCTTTATTATATTTTTCAGATATAAAATACATCCAACATGTAAAATCCTTGTTCTGCATTGATAGGTTCTTGTACAAATTATGGAGCACAAATATCAATAGGCAGCACAATTGCGTCACTCATTGATCATTAACCCTATAAGACATATAGTCATTATCTTTTCTTCATGTCAATAACTGCTCAATTTTATTTGTCATGTCATAAAGAATGTTAAACGCAAGTTATAAACTTGATATTAGTTTTGGTTGATGGAATGTTGCCGGATTATAAAGTGTTGAAGTTCAAATTTGAATATACAGTAAAGTAACTGAATTTCTTATGATTTCAATCAATTCCATATCTCAGACTTTATTACTAATGAATCAGTAACGGTCAAATTCATACAAATTTGGTTCATCATCAATTTCAAGTTAATTACACGCAACAATTCAAGAGTATTTCTTCTTCATTTTGAGCCAATTATATACACAAAAACATCGTCTCTTTGTTTAAGCCACAACAATGTCTAATAATCAAGGCCAGGGAGAATCCAGACAAAATCAAGGCCAGGGAGAATCCAGACAAAATCAAAATGCACCTAAGCAAGAGTTGCAGCCACACCCAGTAATGGAGCAACTTTCTGGTGTTCAATATTGTGTTAATAGTCCACCTCCATGGAGTGAGTACTCGTTCTCTTCTTCTAAATCTGTATAATTCTACACATTTAAGACTCAAATTCAAAAAAGATAGCTGATAATTCTTGTATATATCTTTTTGCAAATGTAGAGGAAGCAGTGTTATTGGGGTTCCAACATTACGTTTTGTCTTTGGGTACCACTGTGTTGATATCAACCATGACAGTTTCTCAAATGGGTGGTGACAATGTAAGTAATTAGTTAAAAGTATCCATTTTTTATCATCAATTATAGAATATTACATTCTATAAAGAATATGAATCTTGTTGAATGAATCAATCCAGGCTGAGAAAGCCAGGGTGATTCAAACGCTGCTTTTTCTTTCAGGATTCAACACATTAACGCAAACCATATTTGGAACTCGATTGCCATCTATTGTTGGTGGATCACATGCATTTTTAGTCCCTGTAATCTCCATAATTCATGCTAAAAGATATCGTATGTATCAAGAACCTCATCAGGTACGTACATCATCTTATCAAACATATTGACTGTTTTTTTTTCTTCTTCTTCTTCAATTCTAATGGTTTAATTTATTTGGTGTGTTGGAAAAAGAGATTTGCACAGACCATGAGAGGAATACAAGGTGCTCTTGTCATCGCCTCAGCTTTCCAGATGATTCTTGGATTCCTTGGCTTGTGGAGAAACATTGTAAAGTAAAGTGTTTGATGTTAATTACTCAATTTACTTATTGTATGTTTGTTTATATTAACTATATATGTGTTATGTATGTATAGGTATCTTAGCCCTCTTTCGGTTGTTCCTCTTGTTACTTTCACTGGACTTGGCCTATACCACCTTGCTTTTCCCATGGTAAGATCCATTTCTAGTTGTCAAAAAGATAATAATTGGGATGAAAGAAAGAAAAAGAAAGAAAATAACTTTTTCATTATTATTATTTTACCTTTTCTTGTTGTTTTAGTTGGGAAAATGCATAGAAATCGGGCTTGGGGAGTTGGTGTTGATAGTCCTCATCTCACAGGCAAGTTCTAGTTCTTGAGAAATCACTGATAATATTAGTTATATAATATAAAGAAAGTCAAACTAACTTTGTATGCATGATATTGATTGACTTTTTGTAGTATCTTCCTCCATATATGACTTCCAAGAGGCCAATATGTGATCGGTTTGCAGTGTTGTTTTCTATGTCGATTGCATGGACATGTGCTGGAATTTTGACATGGAGTGGTGCATACAACAAATCTACAGACACTTTAAACACTTGTCGAACAGATCATTCTGGACTTATACATGGAGCTCCTTGGTGAACTTTCGAACTTTTATTCAAAAATAAAAAAGTAATCTTATTAATTGTTATAAATGACTAACTAGTAACTACACAGGATCTATGTTCCTTATCCATTTCAATGGGGTACTCCTACATTTGATGTGGGTGAAGTTATCACCATGATAGTTGCTTCTTTCGTCTCTTCCATTGAGGTTTAATTCTAGATCTCCTCTACCTATGTCTTTAATTTATTTCTTCTTTAATTTCCTAAATGCATGCATTGACAAATTAATCTTTTTCTTCATGTGTAGTCAACAGGCTCGTTTAGTGCATCAGCAAGATATGGAAGCGCCACTCCTGTCCCACCTTCTGTTTTGAGCCGTGGTATTGGCTGGCTGGTATATATACGCATTACAAATTTAATTGAGATTAAAATAAAACTAAAATAAAAAAAATAGATAAATAACACATTTTTTTGTTGTTGTTAGGGAGTAGGGACTTTCATCGGTGGCATGTGTGGAAATGTTACTGGATTTGCTGCATCCATGTAATGACAACAACTTAATGATCTTGTGAACTTTCATATTAACAATATTTAGCCATTTTTTCCTTTTATGAAGCACAAAATCCCATGATTTGTAGTGAAAATTCTGGTGCATTGGCATTAACAAGAGTTGGGAGTCGACGTGTGATTCAAATATCAGCTGCTTTCATGATCTTCTTCTCAGTCTTTGGTATCCCCACCTTCTTTCCTTTCATCAAAATTTGCTCTCAGGCTAATTAACTAATAATTGTTTTCCATTCAACAGGAAAGTTTGGAGCTTTTTTTGCTTCAATACCTTTACCAATCTTTGCAGCTTTATACTGCATCTTGTTTGGTTGTGTATGTATGTCCCCCTTCCTAATTCATCACTACTATACATTTTCATATCTAATTATTTATCATCAATTAATTAATACACGTTAATGTTAAATTTGAATGCAGCTTCTGTAGGTCTAGGGCACTTGCAGTTCTGTAATCTCAACAGCTTCAGGACCAAAATCATATTAGGCCTTTCTTTCTCCCTTGGACTTTCACTTCCACAGTTCTTTCGAGAACATTGGGTCTCCAATCATGGCCCCATGCACACCCATGCAAGATGGGTATGTTAGGGCATTCATGTCTTTTACCATATTTTAGGGCTATGTTTGTTCTATTGATATCAGTATCAGTTAACAGTGCATATAATTTGGTTTGCAGTTTGATAACATGGTATCTGTGGTGTTGATGTCACATGCAAGTGTTGCAGTGATGATTGCAATGATATTGGACTGCACGATTAATCATGGGAAAAACGAGAATGGGAAAGAATGGTGGGAGAAGTTTGCAGTGTATGGAAATGATGTTCGAAGTGATGAGTTTTATAAACTTCCATGGAAACTTAACAAGTTATTCCCAGCCTTATAATTTATATCTTTCTAATGTTTGATGAATTTTGACAATATGACTTTTTTTTCCTTTCCCACAATATGAATCGAATTCAATTTCTTCATTGTCCAATTTTCTTTCAAAAAAATTATATAACTCAACACTACTAGATACGCCCAAAAGTCTTGTTGAAGTTACATATCCATGACATATAAATATGATACCTTGATGAAAGAAAAGAAAAAACTAAAAACTAAGACTAGCAAACATGAAACATGAAATCTGAAGTAGTCCCAGTAGGAGAAAGACATGAAGATTTGTTTGTACATATAATGTTTGACATGAAGAGTGTTAGAAAGAAGCTGAGGTTGTTCTTCTGAGTTGATACTTTGGTTCAGGAGGAGGTACACATGGCAAAACGTTCTCTGCCTCCTGCAAACAGATATTCATGATTTTGATTATATTCTAGTTTTCTTTTCTAAAAACAAGTAAATAGGTATAATTATATATGCATCAGCGACTTCAAAGAAACATATGGCAAGATGCATATATTCCCAACATACAGTAATATCTGTTTCATCATATATATGTATAATAAGTTAAGATATATATCTGTTTCAAGTTAAGATGTACTACTATCTTGTACTTGGGACACATTCATGATAGGTGTACTACATCACATCATAATAAGAAAGAGAGAGAGAGAATAACATAAATTATAGTACCAAAATATAAGGACATAATAAGACCAACAAAAGAACATTTGTGATCATAAAGCAGTATAAAAAAAAAAAGACATACCTGCTCTCTTCTGAGTCTTTCATTTTCCTCTTCCAAACGTGAAACTTTGTTCTCCAGTTCATGGGTATAAGCCTATCCAAGTTTATAGAACTTTCTTATAACATGATAGTATTTCTAGGATTAAAAATAAATATAAATTTGGAAAGCATACCTGTTTTCTTGCTCGTGAACGTGCAGCAGATTCCCTGTTCTTGATCATTCTTTTTTGCCTTCTTTCCACAGTCTTCTCCATCACATCTCCAGATGCAGCTCTTTTCTTGCCAGGAATTTGTGTATCAGAAAGAGTCCCCATCAATGGAGACATTGTCATCTGAGTCTCAGAATAAGCAGTCTCCATAGGAAGTGGCTGTTGAACTTGATGATGACCTGGCATAAACACATGTTGTGGCTGCTGTTGAATTGGCTGGATCTGATACTGCTGCATCCATTGTGCTTGTTGTGGATTGATATTTTGTTGGGGCAATGCAATTGATTCAACTCCTGCAACAGAAACTGGATTCTTCTTCTTCTCATGAGAAGATTCTGCAACAATCCCTGCTTTGGCCAAGAAATCCTCCAATGTCATCTCACCAAGAGTTGGTTGTTTCTCTCGGGTACTTTTCCTTTCAAGATTGTTATCATTACTAACGCTACTATGAGTAGTATTCTTCTTCTTTTGGATATCTTGCCATAGCTCATCAACTGTTTTCTTGCTAAGATCTGGCATGGATGATGTGTGTTGATGTACAGGCCCTTGATTAGATTCAGCTTCAGCACTCCAAACATTCTTGAGAAGCTCATCGAGATTCATACTACTCAAAGGTTTCCCTAAATCCCCTAATTGTTGTTGAACCTCATCCAATGTTAGGTTATACAAAGGGCCTTGTTTTGACAATCCGTTGGATTTAGGATGTTGGGTTCCACCATTTCCACCACCACCACCATGCGATCCCATGGTTCGAGTCCCCATAGATAAAACCCTAACCTATATACACTAATCAATTTCTTCGAAGAGATAAATTTCAAATTCCGAAATGGAAAAATCGATCCCTTTTCCTCTAAACAATCGAAATCCGCGACTCCTTACCTGCGATTTAAATTTCGAAAGAGAAACAACTCAAATCTGTATGATTTGTTAGCAGAATTCGAACTAAAGTTCATGAATTCTATTCGACCTTCCTAATTCAAGATAATCGGCGTTGAATGAGGAATTGATGATACAAACCGGATTGGAGGAAAAACTAACCAGAGATGCAAAATTTTGAAAAGGGGGAAGAATCATGGGGCTGGTAAGATGGATTTAGGCTCTTCTTCCATGCAGCAGAAGCAGCAGCAACATATGTTCACCATTTTCTTCCATAACAAAACATTTATTCCAGAGAAATCAGCAATCTTAGAACACAAGTGATCAATTATATACTCGGATGTAATAAAATAACCCAAATTCAATCATACTCCCGTTAAATAAATAAATAAATAGAAAATTACATAAAAACCCTTAAGTTTTTTTAAAAATTACACTTTTACACTAAATCATTTTTATACCTAACCTGGAAGTTTTCAAGATTTGTTGCATGCATCCGTCATTTAGCAGAATTCACCATTCTGAGCGAGTTACCAAGCTGATGTGACATCAAACGTGTCATGTTAAAAACATTTTTACCCCCGTTTAGCAACGTTATGTCTTGAGAAGCCAAAAAACCAACTTTGCGTACCTCAATGGAGCTGGAAACCTTGGGTTTTTGCAAGTAATTATTAACATAAAATGGGGTTTAAGAGGAAATGAAGGCTTATAGGGTGGTATAGTTTCAAGATTGAGACAAAAAGTTGGGTAATTGAAGGTGTTGGTTGAAGAAATACCTGGACATGTATAATATTTTGTCATGTAAGATATAATTTTTTGTTCTTTCATAATGTTGTTGGTGTTAATAACGTGTGTTTGGACCCAAAAAACTGACCGGAACCGGTACGGTTGGTACCGCATAAGGTATGTCGGTCTGGTTATCAGTTATGCATTTGGCTCTTATTCGGTTACCGGGAAAACAAGGTTCGATATTACCAAGCGATTCCAAATAACAGAAACCGGTAGTGCAACAATTTGTATTCTGTTTCTCTCATGCTTCTATTCATAGTTGTAAAATGTCTCTATACCTATTTCCAGGGCCGGTCATGAGGATTCAAATGCCCAGGACGAGCCGGAAAAAAATGTCCTTATACCCTAACATGTAATGAATTAATTATATAAACTGAAGTTTTTTTAAAACGACGATAAACTTTATAGCAATAAACATAGAAAAATCATAGTATTTTAACGAGTAATAACATATCGTAACATCTAAACGACAACCAAAAATGAAAATGGGGCCTAAGTAATATATATATATATATATATATATATATATATATATATATATATATATATATAATAAATTTAAATTAAAGGCTGAATTGGAAAAACTAAAAAAATAAATTAAATTAATAAACAAAATGACAAATATAAATTTATAAAAGTTTAGGGGCTAAATGTAGAGTTTTTTGAAATTGATTTAGGTCCCGTTTGATAGTTGCTGACTGAGAAAGTGCTGATTGGGAAATGTCTGTCTGAGTAAGAAATTCTTACTGGGTAAGAAACCATGTTGTTTGATTGTACATCTGATTGAATGTGCTGACTGATGCAAAATGACTATTTTACCCTGATGTTCTATACATTTCTATGAAACAATAATAATAATAATAATAATTATTATTATTATTATTATTATTATTATTATTATTATTATGATAATAATTATAATAATAATCAGTGTTATACAATATATAAAATGTTTGACCAACTATAACAAAAGAAAACTTCTAGTTTAGAGGTAAATATGGTGGTTTGTGAGTGTGAGGTGATGGGTTCTATTCCCAGCATTCTCTTTTTCACTGTCGGATTTTAAAAGCTCATGGGTAACTTTGGAAAACTTTTCTCCATTTCTCAGTCAGCTAAGTCCTAACTTCTTTTTCACTCAGATCTTGCTGACCGAGTCAGCCACCTAAATTTTATTTATCAAACAACTTCAACTGACCGAGTCAGCCAAAAATGTCTACCTGACTCGGTCAGACACATATCAAACAGGGCCTTAGTAAAGAGAATTGGATAAATTGTTAAGTATGGATCATAAATTAATGGTAGAAATTGTAACTTAGAATATTTAACGTATATATGCATCCTTCTTTGGCTGGACGAAATCATCGCGGGAAGAGGGAGCGGGAGGCTTCCCGCACGACGGAACACCGAACCGTCGGTGTGGGAAGTGGTGGTGCGGAAACCGGAGATGAGAGGACTTGCCGCGTTCTCTCTCCGTCGATCATTGGCCGGAATTTTTTTTTCCTTTTTTTTTCGAATTAGTCGTTGATTAACGGTAAAAAAAAAATTTCTTACTAACGGATATATGCATTAAAAGTCTTTTTTTTTGTTTTTGTTTTTTTTTTAACTTTTTAAACAACTATAAATACCAATTATTTACCTCCAATCAACATTCAAACAAACCCTATATCCTCTTTATTTTCTTCTCAAAAAAAATGAATCCCGATAATCAAACCCCAACTTCCGATCGAAGGAAAAAAAAGTCATGGTTCGAGTTTAAACATCCCTACTCGAAACATTTTTGCTATCGATTCATCATCACAATCAGTTTATCGTCCCCAACTCGATGCTCCAATTTAATCTCCACTACAATTTCAATACCAAAATGTTAGACAATATTACCCGATCCAAGTTCCAAATGTTACGCCGCAAATGTTTTCAAACTTTGTTGTTTTTCCGGATCAACAATCGTCAAATCAACCTCAAAACCAAACCCAACCCCAAACCCAAACCGAAACTCAAACCCAAACCCAACAACAATTCCAACTTGTCGATGAGTTGGATGACTCGGAAGAAGAAAAGATGGTTCCCGAAACTCAACCAACACCATCCCCACAACGACGCAAAGGAAAACAACAAGCGCGCAAGGGTGTCGCACAACCGGGAAGACAAAAGCCCACAACATGGCTTCCACACGAAGAGTTAGTTTTGGTAAAAGCTTGGGCTGACATTTCTGAAGATTCGATTCATGGAAACGCACAACCGGGAGACCATTTTTGGTTTTGCATTTTAGAACGGTTTCGAGAGGAGCTAGAAAAAGGTGACGACTACCGTACGAAACATCAACTGAATTCGAAGTTTCGAGAAATAGCAAATGGGGTTTCAAAAATAAACGGTTTGTACAACAACCTAAAAATCCAACGAAAAAGCGGCCAAGGCGACGAACAAATACTTCAAGAAGCTTTGCAATTTTACCTTGAGGAAGTCGGAAAATCATTCAAGTGGCACGATTGTTGGAAAATATTGGTCCGAAGTCCTAGGTGGAAAAAATACGAGCAAGATTTTATTTTTGGAGTCCAACAATCAAAGCGAACGAAAACGGGCTCTAGTGGTTACACAACCTCCTCCGATGTTCGGGTCGGTCTAGATTTGAATCAGGACGACGAACTCAAGCTAGAAGAAATTGTCCGCCCAATGGGTAGGGACAAAGCAAAGAGGAAGGGAAAAAAGGACTTCTTCGGGTGCATCGGATTTCAGCATGGACGTTAACGAAATGCGGAAAATAACAGCGTCGTTTGATCGATATAATCTTAATTTCTCCGAACGTTTGGCGTTTGACAAAGAAAAAGAAAAAGAAGAAGCAAGGAAGAAGGAGCGGGCGGAGAGACAAGAAATGGAGGATATGAAGTTTTTGATGAAAAACATCGATCATCTTTCAGGATCGGCTCTCGAGCTCGTGATAAAAAAGAGGGAAAAAATTCTAAAAAAAATATTTTTTGTAGGTCGTTGTTGGTTTGTTTGATTTTTTGTTTGTGTTTTTTTTTTAATTTTCTAGTTTTTTAAATTTTAGGTTTATTGTAATTTTTATTTTAATTAATGAAATGCATTTTCTTTTTAATTAATTTTTTTGGTTATTTTTAATTTAAAAATTATAAATCATAAAAATCAATTAATTTTTTTAAAAAAAAAAAATAGTGAGGGAAGTCTTTCCCACTCATTCATTGGGTTTTAGGTGAGGGAAATGGTGGTGTGGCTCACAAAAAGTGAGGGAAACACCCCTCTCATACCCTCCAGTCTTATATGGAGCAACATCCTTCTTATATAGAGCTAAACGTAATAAAGTTAGAATAAGCCAACGTTAAAAATAAAAAAAAAAGCCTAAATTTAGAAGGATTCGAACCCGCGTCCTTTGTGTATTTAAACACACGCCACTTTAACCGGCTAAACTGATGCATATTTGTGTTAAAAATCTGAAAACATTAAATATATTAATACCTTAATTATATAATTTTGCAAAACTCGGGCCCTATTTTTTTGGGGCCCTGTGCGGCTGCACTCCTTGCCCCCTTCTTAGAGTTGGGCCTGCCTATTTCACATTAAAAGAATATGTTCATGCCCTCCCTTTTGTCTTTTTTTTGTTTCCATCAGTTTAATGATGATGTGTATTTTAATGACAAGATCATAGTTCGTCTACAACGTAACTTAGAAGAAACATATGTTGCAAAGTGCAACAAAAACGATGAAGTAATGTCGAACAAGTTTAGATTTTTAAACACGCTTAGGATTTTGATTTTAATCATAGGACTTGTTCTCTCTAATTGTCTATTTAATCATCAATGCAAGCTATAGTAACGATCATGTAACATCCCAAAAACCAAGATAAAATTTTCAATTTTAAAATCCAACCAAAAGCCACAATTGTTTACAAAACATTGTTTCCAAAGATAATAATCACATATCAGAGTGTCCCAAAATCAAATATCATAAATCATGAGGATGTGCACGATCACGTCTTTGCTTTCCCCCGATCATCTGAAGTACTTGAAACATAAAACTTAAAATATAAGTCAAAACTTACTGACTTCCCCCACAATACCACACAACAGAACATATACAAAACACATACTAGGTCCACAACCTCCTCGTTGGATTCCCCTGGCCCACAACCTTCCGGTTAGAATGTCCAGGTTTGTTGCCTTACAGCACAAAGCAATACATCATCAACCCAACCACACTATGTCGACATATGCAACAGATAAACATATAACTAGCAAATAGATAATCATATAGATCTACCAGTATAACACATACTCAACATAACATCAATCTAGTACACCATGATACATAATCCAGTGGGTCGGTATTGGTGTCATCGACCCACAAGTACAGTGAGGAAAACTCACCTCACAGTCTAACGAAATAGTTGAACAACACATCGCTCTGAATACAACTCTACCAATCACCTTTACAACAAACAATGACCAAACCTCAGACTACAACTCAAAATACCCAAAATATCCCTAGGTCAAAGTCAAAGGTCAAAAAGTC